GGACGCTCAACTTCGTAGTAACTCCCCGTCTCCAGGCCCAGCATGCGTTGCATAACGATCACGCTCATGCCTTTGGCAGTTGTACTGCTGCTTCTTTGCAACATGTTGGGTGGGGTCATGTGCGCCAGGTGCGCAGGCACCTGGCTGGGTGGCTGGGGTTGTGTTGGGAACTCCATCCTGATCGCAGCGAGCTCCAGACACGTGCGCCGCACAACCCGTTATAGGAAACATTCGCTGCCATGCACCGGCAGGACCCACCCCGTGAACATGGAGGTGTCCCCCGCATCAGCCTGACGACTGATGACACCCCCTGCAAGCTAATCGCAGCCACCCCAGCTGATGTGCCTGTGTTGATGATGTTCCATGCATGCCCATGAATCCCTCCATTTAGGCTGTCGTCACGGCTGATGCGTTCTTGTTCATGCTGACCCGCACTGCTGTCCTCCCGCTGCTCCCACCCTCTTGGCATCGCCCGCAGCCCTGAGGCGACCCCCAAAAAGCAGAAGCTGGCGGTGGTGAGTGACGCCTGAGTGCACGGTTGGGTTGACACGCTGCCTGAGTGCGCAACTGCGGGCGCTCACCAGCTTGTTGCTCACCTAGTTTGCCCCATCGTGGCTATGCATGTAGGCGCCTTGCCTAGGGAAAATGGAAAAAGCCCGCCTGCACTTTGCTATGTGTCTTGCTTTCGCACGCGAAGCCAGCATCCTGCAGTCAAGCATGAACTGAATCTGCACTCCTCGCTCATCCCCATGCAGTGCGCGCCTGTCAAGGCTTTGGTCAAGTCGTGCACCTCCAAGGCCGGCCCGACCGCCCTCATGGACCAGCTGTGCAGCGAGCTGCTGGCTCCCGCCAACGCTACGGCCGACAGCAAGGTGCGTATCCTCGCACGCATGCACGCACGCACGTGCACACATGCACGCGCACAAATGCGCGCACACACGCACACACATGCAAACACGCACGCATGCACACACACAGAGAACAACGCATGCGCGTAGAACCTCTTGCGCGTGGGCAGGTGTCTGGTGGGTGCTGGTGTGGCAGCAAACAGACGCAACAATGCGGTGGTGACTTGAAAGTCACCACCGCACAACCACACCACAAACAACCGAGCAATTGCTCGGTTGTTTGTGGGGTGAGAGCACTTGCAGCCCCTCCAGGACCTCTTTTAGACAACTTGCCCATTGACATGTTGCAAGCACGTTCTGATCACGCACCACGCCTGTTGCTTGGAACAATCGGCACACTTCCACTCCCCCAGGACCCCACCAAGCTGCGCTATGGCTGCGGCGTTGCGACCGCTGCACAGGTCAACAGAGTGTCCAGTGACCTGGCAGCCCTTGAGCCCAAGGTCACCGCCGCCGCCGCCCAGACCAGCTCCCTGCAGGCCACCTTGGTCCAAGGCAACAACCAGACAGCCGCGCTGCGCGCTCAGGTGGACGAGCTCAAAACGTCTATCGGGGTTCTGACCGCCGCCGTGCAGAAGCTGCAAGCGAATGCGTCCAGCACGGCTGTCCCCAGCACCATCACTGTACAGCTCGCCGCCCTCCAAGCAGCTGACACGCGCACCGCCCAGCAGCTGGCCCTGCTGGAGGCGGCAAACCAGACCGCGGCACGGGACATCGCGGCGCTCAAGTCTACTTCGCAGCAGTGCACCTGCGGCCTGGAGCTCTCGACTGTCAACACCACCCTGGCCGCCATCAAGTCAACCCAGACGGCGGACGCGGCGGCCTTCTCACTGGCCAACGCCACCGTGGAGTCCCTGAAGGCCCAAGTCACCACGGGCGCGGCAGCCATCGCATCGGTCAACACCAGCGTTGCCGCCCTGGTGGCCAGTGTGGCCAACGTGTCGACCATCGACCTCAGTGTCTACGCGAAAGTCACCGACCTGGCCAACATCAACGCGGTCAGCCTGGGGGGCGTGCCTGCGGCGCAGTACCTGCGCTCGCGGGTGGTGATCTACAGTGAATCTTCGACACGCAGGACCGCCAGCCTTGGTGGCCGGGCTGGTGTCGACGCCTTGTGCAGCGCCTCCATCAACCGGCCGACCGGACTCGTGCAGGCGCGCGCGTTCGTGACAACATCTTCAACCGACCAGATTGCCGATTTCCCCACAAAGTACAACGTCCCCAGCAGCCTGCCAATCGAGTCCTTGAGCGGCGTCGTCCTGGCCAACACGTATTCGAACCTGGGCGGCGCCCTCTTGACCTCCTTGAGCAGTGCGGGCGTGCTGCCGCCATCCACAACTTGGTGGTCGGGCAGCTCAACGAGCGGCCGGTTCATCTCTATCGGGTGTGCTGAGTTTAATTATGTCGGTGGGTCAGGCGGTACTGAGGTCGGGACGTCATCCAACACTGGTTCTCTTTGGATATCATCACTCAACAGGGCCGCTTGCACAGAATCCCATTTTATCCTGTGCATTGCCTTTTGAATTCTCAGAGCACGGCATGCGCAGATGCAGCAGCCACAGTCGCTTCTGCCACACAAAAGCGAAAACACCGCAGACCTTGCTGATGATGGGCATTTGCCCAGCATGTTCGTGCTGCAGTGTGCGCAACTGTGGGTGGGCCTGCTTGGATATGTGTGCTCAATTGCTCGCACGCACACGGCATTCAACGTTGACATGGTGCTGTCAGCTGAGTGTCTGGGCACCGCCTGTGTGCACGCAGTCCCTCACCACCATCGGATGTTTGTTCACAGCACTTGTTTGCGCATAATCCAGTACAAGCAGCGCATGCGCGCCATGAGGTCCCCGTCATGCGGCACAGCGGCACAGCTCTGATTGTGACCCATGTGTGCAAGCCGTAGCCTGGGGCCTGAGCCCAGGCGCTTCTGTACCGAACTATTGCACAGGCGTGGCTGCGTTCCACCAACGTGTGGGACGATGTGCCCAGCTCCCATGTTCGTCAGGGATCGCAGTTAGGCCACAAAGGATGGCCGCGCTTTACGCTTGCCGAGGTAGCAGTCGCCATGGCTGTCTCACCTGTTGACGCAGCCGAGACTGGCCTGCTGCCCTGTTCCGACCTTGGGCCGGTACGCCATCACACCATGCCAAGCCCCCTGCCCTGCCCCTTCGGTATTGCCTTGATTAGCCTGTTCCTGACCTTATAATTACCCCCTTGCCTGGTGTTCTGAGTCCCCCCTTGTGTCACCCGAATTGTGCTCGTGTTTGGATTGCTTGTGGATTGAGTTTGGAGAGGTGGTTTCACTTCTGGGAATCCTAGGCTGTGGCTATTGTCTGTAATACTTTGGTGAGGTCAGGCAAACAGGCTGATCAGGCAAACAGGCAGCCACTGGTCTGAGAACGCAGTGGGGGCTGAGCCAGGCGCGGCGTTAGTTGCTGGGCGCACCATCAGCTGCGCTGCTGCTCCTGCCACAGTCACCGCTGCCACCGCTGCCCCCGCCACCGCCTATAAAGCCCTGCATCTCCCCTTGCAGAACAAGCGCGGCCGCCTTTATCTTCATAAAGATCAAAGTGCCTGGAACTCCGTGCTTAGCGCAGCTTTGATCTCGCGTGCAGTCAACTCTGCTTTGCGGTAGGAGGACTGAAGCTCTTATTCGATAGTCCCCATGGAAATCTTGATCTTATAGATTGGTAGAGCGTAGTGCGTAGTGTGTCGTGCTGGGCCTGCTGTGCCAGCATCACGGTGCTCAGACTGCTAGTGAGCAGGGCCACAATGTGCGTGCTACTGTTTTTGAATAGCAAACCTATCGATGGTTCTCGGGCTCAGCAAACAGGCCTTTGTCGGCATGTTGCGCGCAATGCCTTACATGCACTTGCTGCGCATCTATGCGGGTCAGTGCCGGTCGCCCGCTTCGGTGACGATGGCACCCGCTCTCTTGACAATATCGAGGTGCCCTGCTGTGTGGCAATGACTTGCCTGTTGCTGGTGCTGCATTTCGCGCCGGCCATTCACATGCAGGGCTACAATCCTGTGAGCACGGCTGTAACTGCCTTCACCCCAAAGCAGAACGCGTTACACATCACGAAAAGGGGTCCGGCATGTAGAAAAGTTCGTGCGGCGAACTACAGTCGGTTCAGTCGGTCAAGTCGATTCACGCAAAGGTGGTGCGCAGCTTCTTGGGCACGTAGTGTTCCTGGTACATGTTGAGGGCGTCCTTGATGACCTGCTTGGCCTCCGCTGCCCCCAGGATGTCGTCAACCTTGACCTCCTTGTGCTCGTTCTGGGGAGGGCGTGAGGTGCCGTGGTGCTCTTTTTGAGCGCGCGCGCGCGAGCGCGATGTGTGTGTGTGCGTGTGTGTGCGTGCGGGTGTTTGCACGTGTGTGCGAGTGTGTATATGTAATGATGTTGCTATGTGTGTGAGCGTGCATCCGAGAGCACGAGGACGCACGCAGATGCTGAGGCTGCTGGCGGTTGGCCGCGCAAGGGCATTGATGATAGGTACAGCGGACTGGGCAGTGGAGAACGCAGCTGAATCAAAATGTGAGCGCGGCGGACAATGGGAGCAATACGTAAGATGGCAGTACATTCACCCCTTCACATGATCCTGCTCAAAAGCTGCAACCATGATCCTGCCATCGCCGGCACCCACCCCCTGCCCCAGCCTGCCGCAGTGCGGCAGTGACCGGCCACAATGCTGGGGGCGAGGGGGGGCTGCAATGCCCGCACGCGCGAGTACGTACCTCGCTGCCCTCTTCCGCATGCCACCTCAACATGCTGCGACAACACATTCTGCCCTCGCCGTGACCCTCGGCCCCCACCTTCTGATATCGCGTGCAAGCCCAACATGCTGCTGAGAGAC